TAAGTTCTCCATGGAGTCTTCTCCAGGCTGACCAGCCCCAACTCTCTCAGCCTGTCATGCCCTTCTTCCCACCCTGCGTGAATATTTTAAATGTTGTGAACCTTGCTGTAAAACAGTAGTGCACTGCTAGTTCACTACATTCTCCTTTTACATATGTTTATTTACATCCATTCCAGAAAGGCACCTGACTGTATTTGAATACCTCAATAAATGAAAGTTTCATTTTTCTGCTCTGTAATTTGTTGAAGTAGTTTTTAGGAAGATGCCTGAGGGTAAAAAGATAACGATACTAAATTATAGGGGGAAATACAGTTGCTAACTCTGGATGGAACACAGTCAGTATTCCTGACCTCCCACACAGCACAATCCAACGGGGACTAAGTGGAGGGTGGAGCAGAGTGGAGACCCCGTGGCTCTGTCAGAACCTTGCAGAGGAGGGAACTCGGTGGTACCTTGTAGCTGATCAGCTGCACAGCAGCTGGAAGCCAAGGCAGATAAAGGAAGATAAAGTCCTGCTGTGCAATTGGCAACCACGGTCAAATCCCTCTCCTCGACTGCCCGTGTCCCATCTCAAGGTTGCCTCAGGTACTGGGCAGAGGTGCCCATCCCCAAGGTATGACCACCCCTCACTGAGTGAGATGGATGACTAAAGTCACTCAGGCTCCACCTAAGCATAAATAAAAATTATTGAAGGGAGTTCAGAAGAAGTGGGGGAAGACTCCATTGTAACTTTGGGATCAGTCAGGGCTGAACCTGTCTCTGTGCCATGTGGGCCCATTGGTAAGAACTGCACCCTGTGCCTGCTGAATCAGTAGCTCAGGGCAGCTTTTCTTAGGGATTAGAGCTTGTCTGAGCATTGCTTTGATTACATTTTTGAAGTTAGATACTGTCACCGGCAATTTTCAAGCCTTACAATTTATTAATAAAGAGGGTTATTCTGTCAACCATTCATGTGAGTTTATTAATAAAGAGGGTTATTCTCTCAACCCTTCATGTGACTCCTTCATGGGGGCTGGCAGCCACCAGAAGTGGGTGAAGGTGTGGAGTCCCAAGAGGGGGTTTCTGTGTTTGGCGTGTGACCCTAAACAAGTCAGTCAAACCCCCCCTAACTCTCAGGTTTAGTTATAATTTAGTACCAGGCCTAGTGAACTGCTTGGTGAAGGGTCCCCATAACGGGACACTGACTGACGGGTCAGGCACAAGGGGCTTGGCTTTCCTGGGGCACCAACAGACCAATCAAACATTGGGGTTTGGGAAATCTCCCCTTTTCACATGGCAGAGTTATTCAGAATCTTTGGGGAGATACACCTCCTGTTTGTAGTTTTGTTCTAACCACTTTGAATTTTAGTCAGTGTTAAATCTAGGGCCCATGAGCCTTTACAGCCTGGCATTTTTCTTGCAGAAGAAAGAAGAGCTTTTTGGGTTTCTTTGTAGATTCAGGAAATGGAATGTTAAATACCTAAATACAGAATATTTTTCCAGTGGTCAGATCATGCTCCATATATTTTAAAAATTTTCTTCCCAATATCCCATCTAACCCTGACATTATTACACCCTGACATTAGTAAAACCCCCCAATCCTCTAGATGTTAGAAAAATATGAAAATTAATAGTATCACCTGAGGATTGGGACTGTGATATTTGGGAAAGCCCAGATGAAAATGCTGGTGAGGCAGAATGGGACTTGGATGAAACAACTGAACCCCCACCTCCTAGAGAGGAAGAGGTTCCAGACTTAAAAACAAGACCCATAATTAAGACCAAAGTGCCCGAAGGACCCCAAGGAGGTCAGAAGAGGAACATGGTCAGAACCCCTCCCTGGGACTCCCCTGCAACTGGCAAATCTACAGGAAAAGTATGGACAAACCCAGGGCAGTCAGGGGAAATGAGAAGAACAAAAAGCCTCCACAGGAATGACACCCCCCAACCCTTGGAAACACGAAAGGGAAAAACCCACCAAGCACTGGGCGACCCTTGGGCCTTCTCACCAGGCACATCATGACTTATCAGTGGTCAGGC